ATTTAAATTTAAATTTTTTAATATAAAAAGTGAAGTTCTTAGTATTAGATGCTTAGGAACTTTAAATTAGTGGATAATTAAAAGTTAACTTAGTTAAACTTTTATTTGTCATTATTTTTTGGTAATAATATGCTGATAATTTTTTTATAATTTTAATATTTTATTAAATAAATATATATAATATTAAAAATTTTAATAAAATAAAAAATTAATTATTAATTAATATAAAAAATTGTCTCTCAACTTTTCTTTTTCTTTTTCTTTTTTTTTTTCTGAAAAAAATCATTTCCACGATTTCTGTTATGAATAATAGCAACATTGATTCTCCTACCTAATTTCTGCCATTGAAGCTTTTGGTACTCAATGTTCTTCAGTTTGTTCATATTTACAATAATCGACACTTCACTCACCAATAATAATTATAATAACAACGCAAATAGGGTGGCGGAGTGGGTCGCTTGGCCCTTGCCCTCATTATTGTGTTCACCACAAAAGTATCTACCATGATCAATCGCTAGTATGAGAGGATGATTAGCCATACACGGCCCAAACTCCTTAGTACAAAGGAATCTTCTTCTTTTTTTACTGATAAAATTTTTTTACTAATAAAATCATGAATAGATTCAACATCTGAAAAATTAAAGAATATTTTCTCATGATAAATACTTTGATATTCATATTAGCAATACTCTATCATTTAGAGGAAGAATTTTTTTCAAATGAGTCATTGCAAAAAGAAAAACGCAATGAAACTATTATTTTATATGAAGGTAATTGAGAGTATTTATAAGCCTCCACTCATAACAATTTTATTATATGTCATTGCTCCATTAATACACTTATCTTTAATCACATCAGTGTGTCGTGATTATCATACCTGTGCTATTGAGTTTTATATATTTTTTTTTGGCCTTTATCACTAATATTGGACCAATCTCCCAACATACAGGATTAGCCAATCCAATTCATTATAACACTAATTATCAACTCTCAAGATCCCATTACATACCAAATGCACATGCTTGTAGCGTTGGTCTGGTCCAGATAAACCTCACCAATAATGTATATTTACTTGAAATATCTGATCCTTTTATGAAAATGATTTTAAAATTTTCTTTTGTAGAGTTTTAGTTTTTTCAGTCAATTGTAAAATGGGATGTTGGATGAGATCAATGGAACGTGGGAGAAAAAGGTCATGTTCATGTACCGTAGTATTTGCCTTTTTTTATTATTATTTTAAGTTAGCTAATAATTGGCAATGCTTCATATTGTTTCTCATATTATTTATTTTCTCTAAACCACATGATTTTATTAGTTTAAATTCAAAATTTTTTATTTTTAAAGGTAC